TGAGGGACAGCAACCCGGACCCGGCTCAAAAAGGTTGCCTACCCCTGTTCTAGGCCCTAGAGCAGCAGAAAACAGGCTTGCGCCATCTTCTACAAGACAGCCTTTCAAATAGTTAAAGATGGCTATCGCATCATATCTGAATTCTCTCTTCTCCAAGCTGCTCCCTGAGCCATTCCTCTTAAGCCTAGGTGTCCAGATTTTTTATCATCTTGGTCATCTTTCTCTAGATACATTTCACCTTCTTGAAAACTGTGGTGCCCAATGTGGGAACATATCAATTGGACAAGAGTCGTGCATCCACCCTGCAGAAATAATCCAGTTTGACCCTGCTTTAACTGTTATGGCTTAATGCTATGATATTCTGGGAATCGTATAATAATATATATTGTGCATTTTTGGTCAGCCAATAAAAGTATCACTGTTGGGTGGATTTTTGACTGGGAATTGTAGTTCATTGTAGCATCAGACCTCTCCAACCGAGAAGATGAAATGTCTCACAAAACTACAAATCCCAGAATTCCATAGCATTGAGCCAGGGCAGTTAAAGTGGAGTCAAGCGAGATTATTTCTTTAGTGTGGATGCAACTCTAGACTTACTTTCAACATGGAGGCAGTTAGGAAAAGGCTTTTTTCAAATTATAACACCCAGAATCTACCAGAGACTATACTGTTTGGAGGATTCTAAGGATTGCTATCAAGGAAAGAGAGCCTTTGCAGACTGTCAGAAATAGTGCAAACTGAGTCCACTTTAAGGGTTAGGGTTAGGGAATCATGGGAACTGTATTTTATTGTGGCACCAGAGCTCTCTGACAGAGAAGGCTCAATGTCTCAGAAAAAAAAACAGTTCCCATGATTCCCTAGCACTAACCCTAACCCTTAAAGTAGACTCAATTTGCACTATTTCTGGCAGTCTGCAAAGGCCCTTAATTTTTCCAAGTTCTAGAAGTTAACATGTGGAACGTAAGTATTGATTAGCCTGTCTTCTTTGAATTGGTCTGATCCTGCAAAACCAGTCTAGCTAGTACACAGTCCCAAAGGACTAGGGCAGAAAACAACTCTTGACAAGTTTTCCTCTGCAGGCGGTGTGCCAGCATTTGGCGATGCCTCCGGGCAAAGTGAACAGCCGTCTCATCAAATACATGAGCGGGCAGGGCTCTCATACTACCTTCTGTTGTGTTCCCTGGATCAGGTCATTTGTAAACATGGAAACTTTGCAAAGCCCCGATGTTATTTCGTTCCTCTGTAATCTTCTGCCGCTCAATGACTTGCAACAACACAGCATCTGCCAGTTTGGAAAAAG